CTGAATGCAGTATTCCAAGTGTGGCCTTACCAAGGCATTATAAAGCGGCATTAACACTTCACGTGATCTTGATTCTATCCCTCTGTTAATGCAGCGCTTTTTCGGCAGCTGCTGCTCATGGCTGGATCATATTTAAATGGTTGTCCACTAGGACTCCAAGATCCCTCTCACAGTTACTACTATTGAGCAAGGTACTACTACTACTACTATTGAGCAAGGTACCAATGTACCTGTGCATTTTGTTTTTCTTGCCTAAATGTAGAACCTTACTTTTTTCACCATTGAATTTCATTTTGTTGGATGAAAGATGAGTCACCTTTCAGAGATACAAGGAAAGCCTCCAGGAGAAATTTCAGCTGGCAGACCAAAGATTTCCCATCCTGGTTTACACAGAAATTATGTGGACATGATTCAAATACCCCCCAGCCCCCCACCCCAAAGAAAACAAAGCTGAATCTTTGTCCAATGTGGTGTCCTCCATACAGTAAATATTGGAATTAGAAAATCAGAGTTTCTAGTCAACACAACAAATATGTCCTACTGGATCTAAATCAGATTCTCATAATTTATTGACCATTATTCTTTTCAAAGGCTCAGGAGGAAAGCAAAGACCACCTGTTCCATGCCCAACGGGACATTACTGCCCTCCAGGTACCAAACACCCAACACAATATAAGTGTGTCCCTGGGACGTGGAGCAACAGGACAGGTCTGGCCACAGAAAAAGAGTGTGCACCATGTCCACCAGGGTGGTTTTGTCTGGCAGGAGCCAATACTCCATCTGGAAAGTGTAGCGCTGGACATTTTTGTCCAGAAGGTAAGGTGTACCCATCCAAAATGAGTTTGTTGATGTTCTTCTGATGCATTTGTTTGTACCGTTAAGTCAGAATCAGTAGACGATGTGATAAGATGAAGGTCCTCAGAAGAACACGTCTGGGGAGATGTGAGACTCAAGGTCAAACGCATTTAGCAAAACTTCTCAATCTTCAAGAAGATCAGGATTAGCTGAATTTGTATATGGATTGTTCTGATTTCAAACTTGCCATGATAGCATGCACAGGTATATCTCTCACTGTACCAGATCAATGTTACATACTATATGGACTCTCAACTCCCAGAATTCCCCATCCGGTATGGCTGCCTGGAAATTGAATTCTGGAAATTGAAATCTACCCACTGTTCTGACCCAGCCCTTGCAAGTAGTGATAAGATGTTTACTCACAAGTAACACAACCCCTTTTTATAACAGGGCGGTAACAGTCTTTTATTCACATGGATAACAAAAAAAAATCAAACGCAATTCGTCCCAAGAAACCTGGATTTAGCCAAGAAATCTTGGCTTGGTAGTACAGGGGTTTAAGGCACCCTGTTATTAAGCTGGTTATTAAGACCAGCTGCCTGCAATTACTGCAGGGTTCGAATCTCGCCAAGGCTCAAGGTTGACTCAGCCTTCCATCCTTTCTAAGGTAGGTGAAATGAGGACCCAGTTTGTGGGGGCAATAAGCTGACTTTGTATAAATATACAAAAGGATGAAGGCTATTGCTGAGCACATTGTAAGCCGCCCTGAGTCTCCGGAGAAGGGCGGCATATAAATCAAATTTAAAAAAAAAAAATCTGAATTGCTTGCTGCATACTAGAAACGAATTCTTGTCTGCAGTGGTGAAATCCAAAAATTTTTACTACCGGTTTTGTGATTTGGGCGTGGTGTGGCTTGGTGGGTGTGGCTTGGTGGGCATGGCAGGGGAAGAATACAGCAAAATCTCCAATCCCACCTGTTAGGATATGGTTTGAGCCTAACAAGTTGTCCAGGCAATATATGTGTACTGTAACTTTAATATGAAATGTATTATGTGACTTTAAAGTTTTCCTGCTGAATCATTGTAATGCTGAGTCATGCTGTAATTAGTTGTGAACATACTTAAGAAAGGTACTGTAACGTATTCAGTTGATGATAAGCTACCATAGTGTGTGGAGTTGCTAACCATTGTGCTATCATCATTGGATGGATCTATTACCATGGTGGTTTGTAAACCAGAGTGAGTTTGTTATTCTAACCAACTACTGTTCGTTTGGTAAGAAGATTCTGTAACTACTGGATTGATTTAACTGGCAAAGACTTGGAATTTGTTTATTTATTTTATTTATTTATTTTATTTATTTTAATTTGATTTATATGCCGCCCTTCTCCAGAGACTCAGGGCGGCTTACAATGCGTTAAACAATAGCCTTCATCCTTTTGTATATTTATACAAAGTCAGCTTATTGCCCCCACAAACTGGGTCCTCATTTAACCTACCTTAGAAAGGATGGAAGGCTGAATCAACCTTGAGCCTGGCAAGATTCGAACCTGCAGTAATTGCAGGCAGCTGTGTTAATAACAGGGTGCTTTAGACCACTGTACTACCAAGGCCCATTAAAGACTATGTTTAAAGACTATGAGATTGTTTTTCTACTATAAAGTAAGCTTTTGATAAACCAGTTTGCATATCTCTTATTCATTGCTCTCAGCAACGTTTCTCTGTGCAGTTACTCTGCTGGTTGGTAATACAACACCAATATCCTTAACACCACCCCACTCTGGCGCCAGCCAGAGGTGGTATTTGCCGGTTCTCCGAACTGCTCAAAATTTCTGCTACCGGTTCTCTAGAACTGTCAGAACCTCCTGGATTTCACCCCTGGTTGTCTGTCACTCCCAAACCCCTACTATTTATTTCCCAGCCAGGGAGGGGCTGGCTAGTGTCTACGACTTCTTTTCCCTGAGAGCCGGCTTATTGATTTCCTTTGCTCTCCTTTCCCCTCTACGCATATGAGCATTTGGGATGGGCCCCATCTGTTCCTCCCCCTCACTCAGCTCAGGCTCCGAAGACAGCTGCCTCTCCACCTGGGGGAGGACGGAAGGCCCCGGCTCTGCCTCTGTCTCCAATGCTAACTAGCTCTGCTGGCAGCCGACGTGCCACAACACCCACCTTAAAGTTGCCAAGCCTGAGAAACGCTGACTAGACCAGTGTCTCAAAGGGGGAAGGGGGAGGACTCCTGGAAGGCTTGCTTGTTGCTATAACTCATGATAGCATCTTTTTCTATCTCTGTGCTACTTGTCTGTTTCTGATAGGCAAATAGAGATCTTTTTATCGTGCATGCTTTAATTCGATTTGGAGTGTTCAATCTTGTAGAAACATGGTAGGTTTTATTTAATGTGCTTTATTCAGTCTGGATCACGGACCGGTAATAATTAAAAAAAATGTGTCAGACAAACATTGCCCTTTTTTTTCCCTCTTCCCCATGATTGTGGTTTGTGTATTCTGTCTTTCTGGTTCAGGAAGTCAAACAAGTACTCAGTTTCCATGCCCAGCAGGAACGTACAGTAGCAAACATGGGAATCGTAATGTGGACGATTGCCTTGCTTGTCCAAAGGGAGTCTATTGTCCCAAAGCAACCATCAAACCAGGATTCTGTCCACTGTAAGTCGAACTCTCAAACTGTCCCCATTTTGGGTCTCATAATGTGACTCCATCATTGCATTCATTATTATAAGAATGAACTCCCTTTGAGCTCCGATAAGGTTGCAGTCCAAGACTTTCACCAGATACAGTCCTCAACTTATGACCATCCATTGAAAGACAGTTCATAGTTACAACAGGAAAAGTGACTTATGACCCCATCACTGGTGGGTTTCAAAATTTTTTACTGTGGGTGTGGCTTGGTGGGCGTAGCGTGGCTTGGTGGGCGTGGCTTGGTGGGCATGGCAGGGGAAGGATACAGTAAATTCTCCATTTCCTCCCCACTCCAGGGGAAGGATACTGCAAAATCTTCATTCCCTCCCCACTCCAGGGGAAGGATACTACAAAATCTCCATTCCCTCCCCACTCCAGGGGAAGGATACTGCAAAATCTCCATTCCCTCCCCACTCTAGGAGAAGGATACTGCAAAATCCCCATTTCCTCTTGGCCAAAGAGGTTGTAGGGGGAAAAAATGCCTTTAAAAGCCTCTGGCGACCCCAGCTGAGTTGCCTGATCATTAGAGGCTTCTAAAAGTATTTTCTTTTGCAACCTCTTAAGGTTGTAGAAAAAATGCTTTTAAAAATAATAATAAAAAAAAGTTGGCCACGTCCACCCAGTCACATTACACCCCACCAAGCCACACCCACAAAATAAGCCACGCCCACAGAACCAGTAGTAAAATGGTAGCAATGTTAGAACCTACCCCTGGATTCACCCCCATTATGGGTATCCCAGAAAGCTCAGCTGGCTCTTTTTAGAATATGTTCTTGCAAAGATAGGTCTTGGTTTTCCTGGAGACAAACCGAGGTGGCTGCCTTGGGGGACCAGTGATGGAGTGACCAGAGGCAAGGATATTGTAAAAAGCAGAACAGTGCCAAGATCTTAAACCCATCTAAGAGATTTTGTTGGCCTCAAGTGCCATCCACTCACATTAATTGAGGAACATTTCAACTGTCAGTCCAAAAGTAATCTTGTATTTTATCTCAGGGAGTAAAACATGTTGAGTCTTTGAAGCAGCTGTGATCTGGAGCCTGTCACAGATTCATTCATTCTACTGCTCAAAAGACTTCAGTTCTTCTACATTGTCCAAGCTGCATTAAGTACTGAGTTCACCAGGTAGGGGTCTCCAACCTTGACGACTTGTGGACCAACTCCCAGAATTCCTCAGCTGGCATGGCTGGCCGAGGAATTCTGGGAGTTGAAGTCCACAAGTCACCAAGGTTGAAGATCCCTGCACTATAGGACCGGTGAAGGAAGCCAGGTTTGTCCAGATGACTTAAAAGAGGCATCAGGAAAGTGATGGCTTGATATCAAGGCTGCTTTAATCCAGCTAAAAATACCTAAAGATTCCCTTCTGTCCATTCATCCCATCTCACCCAATTCATATCAAACTGATTTTTATTTCATGCTTTCTTCGGATGCAGGGGGACGTATCGTTCTCAGCATGGAGCAACATCAGCTGAGGATTGTGCACTGTGCCCTGGTGGATACCAGTGTCCCAAGATGGGCACGGTTGCACCTCACCCGTGCGGACCTGGCAAATTTTCAGTAAGTACCACCAAACAAGTGGAGAAGCAGCCAAAAGAAGTAACCAATCAAAAGAAAAATTGTCCAGAATGTCAACAGCTTTGGGGCTATATTTCCAGAGGTTTGGGATAATGACTCCATTTTTTGATTTTGAGGGTATTAACTTCATTGTCTTGAAGCTAATAGAAATGGAAATCCAGAATATCTTCAAGGCAAGTGATTGGGGGAAGTTGCTGTTTTAGCTCTTCGCCTGTCCATCTCTATCTGTCCTGAAAATGTTGGTTTGCAAATTTGATGTGATAGATATGCAATAGCAGTAAGTGGATGGCATTGGCTGGTTGATGATATATCTTTCTCTCTAACAGAAATCATTGGCAGTTCTCTCTGTAGTAACATTATATTTCAACTTAGAACTTACAGATATACATTGAAAACACATTTTCTTCTATAGGGCTGAAAATGCACTCTCTCTTTCTTTGTGTGTGTGTGTGTCTCTCTCGCTGTCTCTGTCTCTCTCTCTCTCTCTCTCTCACTCTCTGTCTCTGTCTCTCTATGTATCTCTGTCTCTGTCTTGCTGTCTCTCTGTGTCTCTCCCTCTCTCTCTGTGTGTGTCTCTTTCTCTCTCTCTGTCTCTCTCTATCTCTCACTCTCTGTCTCTCCCTGTGTGTGTGTCTCTGTCTCTGTCTTGCTCTCCCTCTTTGTGTGTGTGTGTCTCTCTCTTTCTCTGTCTCTCTGTCTCTCTCTATCTTTCACTCTCTGTCTCTCTCTATCTTTCACTCTGTCTCTGTCTCTCTGTGTGTGTGTGTGTGTGTCTCGCTGTCTCTGTCTCTCTCTATCTCTCACTCTCTGTCTCTGTCTCTCTATGTATCGCTGTCTCTCTCTGTCTGTCTCTCCCTCTCTCTGTGTGTGTGTCTCTTTCTCTCTCTTTCTCTCTCTCCCTGTGTGTGTCTCTGTCTCTGTCTTGCTCTCTCTCTCTCTCTTTGTGTGTGTCTCTCTCTCTTTTTCTCTGTCTCTCTGTCTCTTTCTATCTTTCACTCTCTGTCTCTATCTATCTCTCACTCTCTGTCTCTGTCTCTCTCTCTGTGTGTGTCTTTGTCTCTGTCTTGCTGTCACTCTCTGTCTCTCCCTCTGTGTGTGTGTATGAGAGAGAGAGAGAGACAGAGACAGAGAGAGACAGAGAAAGAAACTATAGATTGGATGGATGGATGGATGGATGGATGGATAGATAGATAGATAGATAGATAGATAGATAGATAGATAGATAGATAGATAGAAAGAAAGAAGAGACAGAGACAGAGACAGAGATAGTTTCCTTCCGTAGAAGATCATAATAATCCTGCGATATTGCCTAAGCTAAAAAGTCAATGTATTTCCAAATTCAGTGTTGTTTTAAGTCCTCCTGTTCTTCACTCTACTTACTTATCCAACTCTGGTTCTCCTGAAGTTGTTAAACTTCAATGTGCACCTTTCCTTGCCATTGGCCACCGTTGGCTATGTTTCCTTAGGATCTTAGGTGACCATTAACTCCTAACGGACCATATCTTGTTCATTCTCCACCCTTACTTCCTCCCAGCAAAAGAGACTCACAAAGTCTAACAAAATCCAACCTATAGCTTTGCTTTTAGTCAACTGCAACCAAGTTATCCATTTGGGTCATAGTGCTGTCTCATGGAAGTGGAGGCAGTCCCATGAAGTCAGACTCTTGGAATTGAGTCGGTAGTATTTTGGGTCCTTTTCAATGCATACATGTTGAAAACTACAGATGATTCAGGTAAACATTTCAATAGATGGAAACTGATGTCCTGTCATGCCCCCGTCAAAGCCTGAATCTGTGGGGGAAGACAAACTGGAACCTGAGCCAACAGAGATTAAGGGGGCGGCTTCATTGGCTGTGGAAGAAAATGGGGAAGGGCAGGGCCAGTCAGGCCAAGGCATTTCAGGATTAGAACAGCTTGTAGACAGGGAGGAACAGGGGCAAGATGAATATGAGAGATAGAGCTCAGGCGATGAGCAAGGATTACTCCCTCCTGATCTTAGAGCATGCAGAGAAGAGAGAAGGCGAGAACAACACAGATTGAGCCAGCTATGAGGGAGGAGAGTGCTCCTCCCACTTCACAAGGCACACCTTGGACTGAGATGTAAGGAGATTTATTTATTTATTTATTTATTTATTACATGTATTTATATGCCGCCATTCTTCCGAAGGACTCAGGGCGGCGAACACAAGTTAAGAAACAAGTGCAATAAAATCCCAAATAATTAATTAATAGTAAATAATAAAACCCGGAATCAGAGTCAGCCTATTTGTTTGAATAGCCAAGTCTTCAAGTCCCGACGGAAGGAGCGGAGATCAGGAGCCATCCGGAGCTCGGTAGGTAATTCATTCCAGAGGGTGGGAGCACCCACAGAGAACGCCCTACCCCTGGGCACTGCAAGACGACATTGGCTCGCCGTCGGAACCCTGAGGAGAGCGGCCCTATGTGAGCGAACAGGACGGTGAGAGGCAGGCAGGAGAAGGTCCTGCAAATATCCCGGACCTAAGTCATGTAGGGCTTTATAGGTGAGAACTAGCACCTTGAAGCGGACCGGTGAGATGCCGGTGGGATGGGCATTTGTTGGGAACAAGCGTTGAATCTGTGGAGCCTCATGTGCACTTGCCGATGCTTGGAGATTACTGTGTTCTGTCTTGTGGGGCTTGTCCGGTTTGCCTGCTTTGCTGAACTTCTTGTTCTGCTTACTGTTTGGCTAACCTTGTTTACTGGACTTCTTGCCTTGGTTACTGTTTGGTTCACCTTGCTTCCTGGACTACTCGCAGCCAGAGGCTGTTGAAGGTGTGTGTTTGAGAGCTTTGGGGACATTTGGGGGCAAAGTTGGAGCAATAAAGGGGAGTTAGACCTGTTCTTTGGCTGTGTTGCTTTAGTGCCATGCCCCGGTCATCACATGTCCTTTTACTAAGGGCCGGTGTCCGTTTGCCATGCCAAAGCAATGTGCCACTTGGTTTTCTGTTCCTCGTTTTCAGAAGGATTAAAGCAAGGGGAAAAAAGAAGGGGGCAGATAGGAATGTTCCTGATTGGCTCCTGGGGGAGTCGAAATTGCAATGCAGTTGAATGTTCGTTTTGCTAACAAAAGGGAAACAGCATGTCAGAACCACTGATTAGGAGAACGGCAAAAAAGCCTTTCTTCTAACAAATCAGCCCCAAACCCTGCGTCCTTTCACACAAAATGAAGCATTCTTGGTCTCTGGTTAGTACTTCTGATCTGCTCCGGGCTAGCTTTCCATAACCGCTTCATCGTTTGGCCAGAGATCAAATATCTTTATTACAAAGATGCTCGTTATGATCAGAGATGGGGATTAAACTACAGAGACAAATGGCAAAATAATGTAGTTTATTATTGCCTTTCTTATGTTTCCAGGCTGGTTAGGAGTAATCTTATAAAGATGCCTTGAACTGTTTGTATTTTTTTTATTATTATTAGTTTATCAAAATGTAAAGTACAGAAATACAAAGAAAAAAGTGAAAATAAGGGGAAAATAAGGGGAGGAAAGAGAATGAGGAAAAATTGTACGGTAAAGGGACAAGAGAGAAGAAAAAAAAAAAGAAAAGCATTGAGTTCTTGACTCCTTTTGGTGTAGTAGAATAAGGTACATAACATACAACCTCAATGTTTTTTGTTGTTGTTAGTTGCGAAGTTGTGTCTGACTCATCGCGACCCCATGGACAATTTTCCTCCAGGCCTTCCTGTCCTCTACCATCCTCTGGAGTCCATTGAAGCTCAGGCCGACTGCTTCAGTGACTCCATCCAGACATCTCATTCTCTGTCATCCCCTTCTTCTTTTGCCCTCAATCATTCCCAGCATTAGGCTCTTCTCCAGGGAGTCCTTCCTTCTCATCAGGTGGCCAAAGTATTTGAGTTTCCTCTTCAGGATCTGGCCTTCTAAAGAGCAGTCAGGGTTGATCTCCTCTAGCACTGACCAGTTTGATGGCCTTGCAGTCCAAGGGACTTGCAGGAATCTTCTCCAGCACCAGAGTTCAAAGGCCTCCATTCTTTGGTGCTCGACCTTCCTTATGGTCCACCTTTCACAGCTGTCCATTGCAACTGGGAAAACCATAGCCTTGACTATACAATGTTCTACTTTTACATAATAATATATACTACCCATGTCTATAGCAACAAACCAATCTAATCCGCAAAACCCAAAATTAAAGTTTCGTTCCCCCCCCCAGCAGTGTTCCAATATCTCAGGGGCTGCCCCAAAGAAGAGGGAGTCAAACTATTCTCCAAAGTACCTGAGGGCAGGACAAGAAGCAATGGATGGAAACCAATCAAGGAGAGAAGCAACTTAGAACTAAGGAGAAATTTCCTGGCAGTGAGAACAATTAATCAGTGGAACGACTTGCCTCCAGAAGTTGTGAATGCTCCAACACTGGAAGTTTTTAAGAAGATGTTGGATAACCATTTGTCTGAAATGATGTAGAGTTTCCTACCTAAGCAGAGGGTTGGACTAGAAGACCTCCAAGGTCCCTTCCAACTCTGTTATTCTATTCTACTCAAGTTGTAGCACCAAGGATCCCTCATGTCAACCCTGAGCTACAAATATTCTCCTTTATTACTAAGTTCTGAGCATCTCAACTGAGGCCCTGTTTCTCTTTTCTCTTCTTGCTGGGTAGGAACCTGGATCTACCTCCTGCTCTTCCTGCCTTGTTGGGCATTTTTGTGCAGACATGAATACCAGCCGGGAGATAATGTTGGATCGGATGGTGTGCCCAGCTGGTTTGCTTTGCCCTGGAGGCCTGGCAGCTGTTCCCAACGCTGAAGAGCACGCTTGTTCGAGAGGCTACTACTGCCCACCAGGCAACATGGTGAGCATTCGTCAATTGATTCGGTCCAGTTGTCTCCTCTCTTGAATTTTCATCAAGACTGTTTGTCCCTTGTGAATGCATTTCATTGAAGAGAAAAATCAATGCACAGATTCCTATCTACAGTTTTTCTATTGTGCATGTTTGTTTTCAGAATTCCTAGGACAGGTAGAGAATTTTTAAGATACTATTCTCTTATTGTAAAATGAACATTTGCACTTTCCCGCAAACTGTATGTATACCTGTTTGGAGTATGGAAACTTAGAAAAAGTACAGATTCCAGAATTCACAAGGGTTTTGTGTCCTCCCCTAGCAATTCCAAAATTATACTATTCATGTAAGTACTTCTGACAAGCAAAGAAACTTTACTATTCCCCTCAAGGATGTGAGGGAAATTTAATTTAATTTAATTTAATTTAATTTAATTTAATTTAATTTAA